TATTGTTTGTTTTAATCTTCTAATTGATGTTTAGGACTGCAATTGATCAGTCTCTAATTGGCATATGTGCATACTTTACCTATTGCCTCGATATAGCCTCACAATGTTTGTGAAATAAGGCTATATCGAGGCAATGAGCACAGTATGAACATATACCAACTAGAGACTGACCAGTCACAGTCCTAAACATCAATGAGAAAATTCAAACAAATAATACTAAGTGAATTTAAACTTCACCCCATTGCACAAGCAAGTGCCTATCAGGACTCAGTAGCTGAGTGGATAACGCGATAGCGTTTGAAGTGAAAGGTACCGGATTCGAGTCCCAGAGTGAACATCAATTCTGAGATGCAGGTACATCCAGCTGACGAGTCCCAAATAGGACGAAACGCGCGTCCTGGATTCCACTGCTAGCCACTACTCATCATTGCTTTCAATTAGTTTTTCATTATGACTCTTACTAGATATCACCTAATCAATAAATTAGTAAACTACATGTTCCAAATTCATGAGCTTATTGATTAATTTCTGAATATTAATTCATTTATCCAATTCATTAACTACACAATTGTTTTAACAAAATACTTTTGAAGTTTTTATTTCACATTGCACAGTGTTGCTGTTATCGATTTTGTTATTATTCGCTAAACATACATGTCAGAAGGGTTTTTGTGGATATTATAGTAATTTCAATGGTTCAGATCATTAGCCAATTGAAGGTAAACAACCATAGAAAACCTGGAAGCATTGGATGACCGTTTCGTCCTAGTATGGCATTCCTCAGTCATGCACATCCACAATCTTGTCTCGCGAAATTCGAATCCAGGAACTATTAGTCTCGTGTGCGGGCGCTTAACCACTAGACCATACATACATATGTTTATGTAGATCCATAATGGGAAACCAATTGAAAACAAATGGTTTTTTTCATTTCATTCGTTGTCTACTCACTATAAGTTTAATTCTAGAAAAGATTAATTTTCTAGTAATTTTAAACATTCACAGTATCCTACAACGGTATTCCTGTTGATGAAAGTCACTCATTTGGGAATTTCGTATATAAAAACTCAAAATTACTCTTCGCAGTTACGACAAACTCGTTACTTACTTTTAATACAAATTTTTGAAATGTTCTAGTGATCATATAGACATATTCTTCATTTGAATCATTATGATCGATGTTACACAATGATTGTTGTTATGAATTGGTAACTATTTTCATTCAACAGACGAGTTTTGTCAAACTGTCTGCACTATACGACAAACATGGAAAATAATCAGTAAACTTTTTCCATTTCTAAAGGTAAAATCATTGACATGGGATATGGTAGGCTATAGTGAAGACTTAGTAAGTATTCATAATTTTCCCTTTCTTATTATTCAGGACTTCAATTGATCAATCTGTAGTTGGATATGTTCATCTTGGTTGGATTACTTGGATATTACCATTTAGTCACAAATTGTAGTCAAGTTGGTTTATATTTCGTCTTATTCAGGATGAATCGACTAGATGTATAAGAATCCCAATGTTAATGTTTACACCAAAGTTCGAAACCAGTATTGTTGGCTTTAAATACTAAAGTGTTGCCTACTAAATTAATGAGCCCACATAGTTAACATGTTCAACAAGTGTGACGATATTGTCAAGAACTTGTTATTCTGAACTGTAAATTATCAATCTAAACTTATGTGGAAAATTGTAATTAAGTTACAACATTGAGGCGATCTATTCACGATTCCTATATGCGAATGGGGATTGAACAGTTATCATGAAGAAACGACGAATTAGTGATTGTTTTACGATTTGTACTTCTATCATAAACTGATTATTGTTATTTAATGATCAATAATTGAAAGTCATACTACATAACCTAAGTGGGTAATTTGTCAGGATAAATCTCATTTTAAGACTGTATTCCTCAAACAACGAAATTAACTAAAAAAAATGAAGAAGCTCTGGAGATAACTATGGTTCTAGTTTGAAACTTTCCTGGAGTAAGCGTGTGGCAACTATTTCCAACTTCTATCAGTTGACGCTACAGTGTGATAATTATGTAAAACTAATTAATAAGTTATTGTCTAACTCTCAACATCATTGAATGCCACCAGTTATAACTTAAAATTGAAAATCCATAGAACTCGTTGATGAATACAAAAACCTGCCATCAAATTAAATCGATCTTCATGAACTATCAAAATAAACAATGAACTGATTAGTCCGAAGGTCAAGAGTACTCCGGAAGGCCTCAAGGTCCTGAGTCCGATCCCAGATTGGATCATAAGTGAATACTAAAAAGAATTCCATAATAGGAGGAAATAGCACTATGATACTGCTTGATTTCCAATGTTTGTTCAGACTTATTTATTTAAACACACATTGGTATAAGGAGACACCAAATATAAATATGAGCCACATAAGCCATTCGATTTGTGTGAGGGATGGGATACTACCCAGGCGCCCAAACCGAAGCAGGTGGTTTTCTTAGGGAGCCAAACTCGGAGCCCTCGACCTACAGGTCGAATCCACAAGGCAACGTCAGGAGATGAAGTCTCATGGTAGCCGTCGACCAACTATTGGTTCATACGCCATTTGTTCTTTCAGGATACTGGAGCCCATGTGCACCACTGGTTTGGAATTAGGGTTTTCCAACTCACCTAGATGGACTCTCCGTAGGATAACTGACTCACTCCACTCTCGGTCGTACCAACTCATTTGGCGCTAAATTCAGACTATGCTCTAAAATCATAGGATAAATAATAAATGCATAAACACTAGTCACTAACTTAATGTCTTGGAATTGTAGTGAAAATTCTTCGTCGATGTAATGTAATTAATTCCTGAATGAAATAGTAAGCATCAATAGCATTGAAATGTAATTGTGTTGTATTGTAGGTTGCCAAAAATTTCAGTATGTAAGCTACTAATTACTTACTCACTGGTTTATAGATATCACATATGAGGAAACTTTAGTCGCATCAATAAAATTAATTGTCCCAACATACCATATAGCAACTTGATTATTTGAGGAACTAATGACTATCGTATATTAGTGACTTGATCCGATCTGATGGAGACGTAAAGGTATGGATAGGAACAGTAAACACAGCATTCCTAGAAGTGAACAACATCCACAATTCAAAATAACTCTCAATCAACACTTAAGTCTCAATTTTCAACACCAACATCAAGAGAGTTCTATTGTATGGAGGTGAAATCACAGAACTACCACATCCATTATCACAAAAGATACGGGCGTTTATAGACATCTGTCAACACTACATATTCCAGATCCGTTTACCGTATACCATCAGCAATAACCTATTGTAAGAGAGAACAAACTCGGCAAAGAATCTTCCTCCACGAGTGGTAATAGGCATAGATCATTATGACAAGTTTTCATGTTTGATTGCATCATGGTTGCTTGTTTATTTCTTTCATCTACATATACAGCACCTACGAATTTAGAACTATTTTTCACTAGCGGACTAAACAATTCTATTTGTGTTACTTGTCGAATCAAATTTATAAGACATTCTATTTATTCATACAAGTTGTTGAGTTACTAGAAGATTTGGAGGTCACGAAATGAAATGAATCCACTTCATCCCAAGATATTCCCTGTTGTTATTCCACAAACATGTATAGAAGGAATTAATTGTATGAAACAATTTCCAGTCATCAGGTATATTTGATTTTGAAACTTCAACAGTGTAAAATGAATCAAGTTAGAAATCCTTTAATAATCTGAAAATTTATCATCAATGCGAGATTCTATAGATGAAATAGACCATCCTACTCTCTATGGATCATCTAAAAGTCCCGAGATTTTAGAGATAACATTCAATTGTATTGAATGACTGCTTTTTATTACCCTTCAAAACTTAATACACTGAGCTAAACATTTCAGTAAGAAAGCTAAGACAGTAATCAGATATAGACAACATGGATTTCGTCGGTAAAACTATAATTTAGTTTACCCAAAATGATCTTAAAGTCGGATAGTGAAACGATAAGTTGATGATAATCGTGGTGAGTTAACCATATACGCTATTGATGAAAATTTTCGCTTTTAAATTTGCCTAACCTACTTAACAGCCGGAATTAGCACGAACATGAAATCTCTGTTGAAGACTATTGTTGTAAAGCATCTGACTTATCAGATAACGTTAAATCCTTGTTTCAAAGGGCAGATTACGGCAAATAGAGCATAACATAACAACATCCTGTCAATGACTAAACGATAGGCTTTGACTGGCTTGAACTATACGGGTAACATGCATTTTGATCCGATTAAGAATAAATTTAAAAGTGATAAATACGAAAAATTGAAATGTAATTCTAAACTTTGTTGGAAGTTTAACAACAGTTGATGCTGAATATGTACTACAAGGAATAACCAATCAGAATTAAAAAAGCCCAGTTAGATTGCGATGCGAAACCATGTCAAACGATCTGTAAAGTAACTTTATCCAATGATCACTAAGCTTGAACTCCTTAATTCTCGCTATTTAGATTGTATATGACATAAATTGAACATTACCTTTACATCATAACACAAATACTTGATTCCTAATCCTAAGAATAAAATATGAAATCATCGACCCCCAAACAAAAGCAATCCAATGACTCCTACAAATATTTACGAGTCTCTATAAGGGCTTGAGAAAACGGATGTAGAATATTTCTATGAACTAATCGATACGACGTTGCTTTTATAAATCACAGATAGAAAAGTCTTCAATAGATAGGTACATTTTGTAAAAACCTATTTATACTTGGTAATATAATTGCAAACTTCTTAACGAACTATACATGAACCAAATCTAAATTCTGATTGACTAAAAATTCGTTACATTTGTATTAAACATAAAAGACATTGATAAAATTGAAATGCTTTTTTTAAATGATGAACAAACCATTCAAAGTCAGAGAGTTTACGATCAACGGGAGGGGAAGGAGGACGAGAAGGGGTAGGGGGTAAAATGTACCGTAAAATCACCTGTTGAGCATTTAACTCGACGCCATATTCATTCCAACATTCTCTCAAACGATCTTCATCTCGTGGAATATTTTCTGCAATCTTGCATCTACTTCTAACTACATCCAATAAATGACTTCCACTTGGCATATACAACTCCGTATAAATCGTCTTAAGTATCTTCTTCCAATTCTTACTGTAATCACTATAGTGTTGTTCTCGAGTTTTACCATTCATCTTCAACTGTGGATAGTCAAACAGTTGACTATTCGGTTCAAAAACACTCAAATAGGTGACCAATCGACCAAATATACTACTTATCTTGTCAGTGACTGATGATCGAGATGAATTCGTCAAATATTCACAGTCGGAGTGATAATGAAATGGATCACTGGATATTTGACGGTACAGCCTCCGCAACTCAATCAACTCATTCAAATCTTCGAAAAACACTATACACACAGATCGGACCATTCGACTGGCAATCTGATGCGCGATTCGTGTACGGATAAATCTAGCTGTCAAGTCCTCGAAATACTGACAGATATCTAGTTTCAGAGGACGCACCAGACCAACGTTATTTATGGGTCTGATTGTATGTTCCAGATTACGATGCTTCGTCGCCATATGAAACACATAGAGTCTCGAGACCCAATAACCAGTGATACGCATCGCTTCAATTTTATCACGTTCGTCTGTTAATCCATGCTTATCCATTAGGTCACTTCTCAGTATCTCACTTGCATAACTGTCTCTCAACAACCCACACGGTGCGAATCTGTTCTCCTGGAAATAGTTAACAACAGCAGCAATCATCACTCGAATACATGCATCTGTCATTCCAACATCGATCACATCCATCATTTCACGACTGTTGGCAACATTGTCAACGGTCCAACGGCCATAGTACCACGCACCATCTTGACGATTCTCCACTACTCTGTCAGGTGTGGAGACATTTTCGACAGGCGCGTCTCCATCAGAAGTGGTTTGTTCATTTGAATCCGACGACTCGGGAACTTCTGCAAGTAGTCCTGCAAGAATCGCAGCACTGGCAGCATTCGCCAGCCATTTTCGAAGAGGTTTGGAAACCGATTCACCAACATTTTTGAAGATGTATGCAGAGGCCATTGCGGCAAACGTCACCCACGCATTCTTAACACGTGTGGAATCGTCCGTGTTGGACTCAGGCATCATACTCCTGTCAAGCATCAACATGAGTCGAGTGTCTAGATCAGATGGAGCAGTGACAGGTAACATAAAATTGAAGTCCGCATCTACTTGTCGTAAATGGTCAAACAGAATGCATCCCAAATCATCAGCCAAATTCGATAGTGAGTCCTTTACATCTTCATTCGTTGCAAGCGTATTCTAAAAAAAGACTTTAAAAAATCCTCATTACGAATAAAGAGCGAACTGATAGCATTACATCATGAGATACACAGTTTTATTTTTTATTAAAATTTCACAATCATTTATTGTTAACTATTCAACAGATTTACAATCCTGAACCAAGTACTGGCAAAATCGAAACTTCAGTAACCGAGTTAAATTTTTTTGAATATATAATTGCATATTTATCAAAATACCCTTTTTCGCAACATTCAAAGAACCACGTTCATTACAAACCTACAATATTTAAGTCCTCTGAGATCTAGGATAGCTTCGCAAGGAGCCACTCTGGGGCTACTGTCGGTCCCGAGCCCGGATAAAGGTAGAGAGTTGAGCATGGAGTTAGCGACCTAATCCCACGGAGAATTAACTCACTGAAGAAACGCTGACCAGAAAAACATATTTCAAACCATTTGAACTCTGCCCTGATAGTCAGAAGGTCTTCATTTAGAAGAGTTATCACGCCTAATGGTGAAAGTCGAGTTCCCTCGGAAGTCACAAGGCGGATGCCCCTTCTGACACCCAGAGCAACCGTTAATGTAGGTACAAGCAATGCTCGTACGATGAGAGAGGCCGGGAGTCATCCAATTTGCTGCAGGAATGAGGAAATACGACCAAGAAGTGCTTGGAATCAGTGAAACACATTGGACGCAGGTTGGACAACGACCAGCTTCAGGGGAGCTTCTGTTATACTCTGGTCATGAGGAAAATGCCTTACGTACACAATGAGTTGCACTGATGCTTTCCGAAGAAGCACAAAAAGCACTTATAGGATGGGGATGTTATGAACCAAGGATCATCAAAGCCTTCTTCAAAACAAAGAAAGAGGGTATTATAATGAACGTCATCCAATGCTATGCGCCTACCAACGACTACAATGAGGACGTTACAGACAAATTCTACGATAGGCTGCAGACGATAGTCGAGAAGTGCCTAACAAAGGACTTGACCAGTCTGATGGGAGACCTAAATGTCAAGGTTGGAATAGACAGCAACGGATACGAAAACATCATGAGATGACTGGATTCCGTAAGGATCGATCGTGTACTAACCAGATCGCAACACTGTGGATCATTATGGAACAATCACTTGAATGGAATTCATCACTCTACACCAACTTTATCGACCACGAGAAAGCATTTGACAGCGTGGACAGGACAATACTATGGAGGCTTTTTCGATACTACGGCGTGCCTGAGAAGATAGTCAACATCAAACAGAATTCTTATGATGGATTAACTGCAGAATCATTCATGGAGGACAGCTCATTGACTCATTCGAGGTAAAGATAGGTATTAGGCAAGGTTGCTTACTCTCAAGCTTTCTCTTCCTCCTGAGGATTGACCGGATCATGAAGACGTCGACATCTGGAGGGAAGCATGGAATACAATGGACAGCTAGGATGCAGCTGGACGATTTAGACTTGACAGACGATCTGGCTCTTCTATCAAACACGTAACTACAAATGCAGAAGACGACCAGTGCAGCAGCAGCAGGTCTCGATAACACAAATGGAAAAGCAAGACTAACTGATACAACACAACATGAACCAATCGAATCACACTTGATTTATTATTTATTTAAACAAATAAATATTGGTACAAGGGGGCACCATATATATATATGCGCCGCACAAATCTCATTTGATTTGTGTGAGGGCTGTGATACTGCCCGGGTTCCCAGACCAAAGCAGGTGGTTTTCTTAGGGGGCCTTCGATCTAAAGATCTGATCCACAAAACTGTGGAGCAACCCGGTTAAAGCTCCGGACATTCGCTTTTCGTCCTATCAATTTCGTAAACAACAGTAACGCCACGAGAAGGCAGTGAGTAGGACTTCCATAGCAGAGTCTGTGACGTGGCCGTGTGCGAGCGTTTCGAGAGGGAGGGTGGCCCCTCCCCACTCTCGACCGTACCAGGGCATTTGGAGGATGTAAAAAGCTTTACATATCTAGGTAGCATTATTGATAAACTCTATGGATCTGATGCAAATGTGAAGGCGCGGATTGGCAAAGCAATAGCAGCATATCTACAATTGAAAAACATCTGGAACTCAAAACGATTGCCAACCAACACCATAGTCAGAATTTTTAATACACATGTCAAGACAGTTCCACTGTATGGGGTGGAAACTTGAAGAGCTACGAAAGCCATCATCCAGAAGATACAAGTGTTTATTAACAGCTGTCTACAGAAAATACTCCAGATCCATTGGCCAGACGCTATCACGGTCAAAAGAAAAGAGGGCGACCAAAGAACACATTACGCCGAGAAATGGAGAGAGATATTAGAAGAATGAATAACAATTGGATAGAACTAGAAAGAAAGGCCCAGAACATAGTGGGTTAAAGAATGCTGGTAGGCAGCTCATGCTCTATTTGGAATAACAGACGTAAGTAAATAAGTTATAATTCTATCTTATTACAGCCCGACTATTCCTATTGCTTAGTCTTATTGGACACCAATTCACTCTACAAGTCCCGAAATCAGAGCACGGTTGAACAGGAAAGAGATTATATTACAAATAACAAGGTTGCATACACAATAGGAAAAACGTTAGTACGTTTATAGTTTTCACATGAGAATATTCTAGAGTACTCTCCAAGTATCAACTAGCAACGGACTACTTCTTATCCAATCAGCGTGCGCCAAAGCAATCGTGCATTGAGTATGCTTTAATCCAATCTATGTCCAGAAACAACTGAGTTCACATTTAGGCAGTTCTGTAAACAAGACTGACACAGATGCTGCTTGGAAAGACATACGAACAGCTGTGGAAACAGCAGTAACATCTATTAGTCATTTAAACCATAGGGCTCCAAAAATCCAGTGGATTTCCTCTAAGTCTATTTCACTGATGGATTCGCGTAAACTCATCCCATCAGCCTCTGAACTCGACGAAGAGCGTAAAGAAATTAGATCTAGGTTAACTAAAAGTCTAAGGAACGATCGTGAGCAGTGGTGGGTAACGAAAGCAAACGAGATGGAAAAGGCAGCGGATGTAGGCAACACCAGGCAAATATTCAGACTAATAAAAGAAACCGGAATTAAGAAGTCAAGTGTAGGTGAGACACTCGGAAAAAGACGGAACCCTTATCTGCTCTCAACCAAAACGTTTAGAACGATGGGCGGAACACTTTAAGGAGCAGTTTAGCTGGCCTTCAGCTACTGCACAACTACCCTCTATTCCCAGAAAACCTGAATGGAACATTGAAGTAGGCCCCCCGACCCTACTTGAAGTTCAAAAGGCTATAAGTAATCTGAAACGAAGAAGAGCAGCTGGTCCAGATGGATTGGCTCCAGAGGTCTTTAAATACGGTGGTCCAATTTTAGCGATTAGGTTGACTAATATTCTGGCTAAAATCTGGGAGACGGACGTAATCCCATCCGACTGGTCACAATCACTGATTGTCCCAATATATAAAAAGGGGTCAAAATCATCCTGCGATAACCATAGAGGGATTAGTCTGACTAACATAGTATCTAAAATACTAGCCTCAATAATTATCAGGCGCCTAACTAAGACTCGTGAACTGCAAACACGAGAAAATCAGACTGGCTTCAGACCTGGTCGTGGCTGTATCGACCACATATTCACCATTCGTCAAGTTTTAAAGCACAGACACGCTTATCGGCGTCCGACAATGATAGTTTTTCTTGACTTGAAAGCAGCATTTGACTCTGTAGACCGAGAGGTTCTGTGGCAGTGTCTGTCATTGAAAGGTGTACCTGAGAAGTACATAAACCTTGTGAAGGCTCTTTACTCGAACACTAACAGTCGAGTGAGAGCTTATGGCGAACTGTCATATGATTTTACAACCTCAAGTGGTGTCCGTCAAGGCTGTCCACTATCCCCATTTTTGTTTAACTTCATTATAGACCTGTTGCTGGAAATAACACTCTCTTCGACTGAATTTACAGGAATTGATCTCCTACCAGGGGGACCACTAAGCGACTTAGAATACGCATATGACATAGTCCTGTTTGGTGAAGACGCTGGCAAAATGCAGAGTCTTCTGTTGGAACTCAGTAATAATGCCAGGATGTTTGGGACGAGTTTCTCCCCATCCAAATGTAAATTGTTACTCCAAGACTGGCCTGCGTCAACACTCGAACTAAGGATAGGGAGTGAAGAAGTCAAACGCGTCAGCAACTTCACTTATCTTGGAAGTCTGATCAGTCCTAATGGGTTGGTGTCGGACGAAATCTCAGCGCGGATTCGAAAAGCTCGTTTGGATTTTGCCAACTTACGTCACCTATGGCGAAGACGAGATATCCGTCTATCAATTAAGGGACGAGTATACTGCGCAGCAGTTCGCTCTGTTCTACTTTACGGCTGTGAAACATGGCCATTAAGAGTAGAAGATACTCGTAGGTTAATAGTATTTGACCACAGATGCCTTAGAAATATTGCTCGCATCTGCTGGGATAACCGGGTAAGTAATAGTGAGGTTAGACGCAGGGTATTAGGGAACGATGGTAAATCAGTTGATGAGGTGATGAATCTTCATCGACTGAGGTGGTTGGGCCACGTGTTACGTATGCCTGAACACCGATCACCGCGACGCTCTATGATGACTAGTATTGGGGATGGTTGGAAGAGAGTTAGGGGCGGCCAAACCAAAACATGGCATCAGTGCTTGAAGTCACTAACTTCTAGTCTGAGCCATGTTGGCAGATGCAGACTACCTGGTTGGGGTCCGCGTGACTATCGTAACCAATGGTTGGAGACTGTAGGTGACATGGCTCAGAATGGATCACAATGGAGTAGGTGTATACGCTCTTTATCTTCCCTTAAACCTTGAGATTAAAATTGCTTCATGACTTTCTTCCTTCCTATATCATATCCTTATATACAACCTATAATTTATATACTACTACCACCACTAAATTAACTACTATGAATCCGGTGTTGATCTTGTTGTGCTAACTAGGTATGGCAACTTGGACCGATGCATATATGTGCCTGGTCCTACGTTGTAGCTGACTGACTGACTGACCCGCTAATAGTAAGTAAGTAAGTGATCTAGGATCGATGTAAAAACATAATTGCACAAATGTGACCAAAAGTTCAAGGTCAAGATGACAATTAAACCAAATCCAAATATTAAGTACAATAAAGATATTAGGATTCATTCTGAATAAGTGAACTTCACAACCATAGTTTATGATAGGCTAGATAAGTCAAACTTCTGCAACACCAAATACCTAGATGGTCAGGTAGCAAACAGCTTTCAAAAATAAAAACAAAAGTTCTATATTGTTGGAGCTATAAAGATGTCATCACTTAAGTAACATCAATATCCTCAACTCTGTAGATCTGGATACATATTTATATGATTCAGTGTGAAAAGACTGATAAACTTTCGTTTCCTTCGATTATAAATACTCAAGAGGATGTTAAATGGTATACTTTATGATTAAAGTTAAATGTGGGATAATTATTATTAGATCATTTATCAAGTACACACTTGAGTTGTCGGCCTCGAGCTACAACTCAGGTGTATTTAGTCTAAAGGTATCCACCAATTACTTAAAATGAAGAATTTACAATATGCAACCTGAAAGTTTTATTGGTGGGAATATATCCATTCTCATTCACGATTTTGATTTCACACCTGGAGACCAACTAAAATGATACAGGAATTATTATTTACACGAACGAAATGGTGTTTTGTTATCATTTTTGCTAAATTACATGAGAATAACACACCACCATGCTAGAAACGTGTCAAGTGTAAGGCAGTTAGCCATAGTAGTTACCTACTTTTATGACGAGAACGCATTTGGTACAATGGAAAGAATTATTATTATAACCAACTGTACCAGTGATTGTTTTACTGTACATCTTTGTTTAAGTGTACAAGACACGCACTTTCTTCCTTTTCCTGTGACCTCGCACGAATTCAAGTACGCACGATTTCAGTGTTCTTTCGATGCCATGAGATCGCCCCCAAATGCCCTGGTACAGTCGAGAGTGGGGAGGGGCCACCCTTCCTCTCGAAATGCTCTCACATGACCACGCGTTCAGCATCTGCCAGGGAAGTCCTAATCACAGCCTTCTCGTTGCGTTACTGTTGTTTACGAAATTGATAGGACGAAAAGCGAATGTCCGGAGTTTTAACTGGGTTGCTTTATAGTCTTGTGGACCAGATCTTTAGGTCAAAGGTTCCGGTATGGCCCTCTAAAAACCACCTGCTTCGGTCTGGGAACCCGGGCAGTATCACAACCCTCGCACAAATCAAATTTGTGCGGCGCATATATATATGGTGCCCCTTTGTACCAATATTTTTGTGTTTAAATAAATATAAATAAGTAAATATCTTATTACAAACGTCAACTGCGACCTGATTTTTTGCTACGGAGAGACCCAACCTAATACCTGGCACGTAATCTTCCTGTAGTGGTGATCACAGTCAATCGCGACTCGACGTCTATTGCACCATTATGGGAGAAAAATCACAGGATAGCAAGAGGCATAAATAATTCCATAATAAAAACTATCCCAGAATCTCTACAATTGGATGACTAAATAAACGACAACATAACCACAATTATTGGCTAGGTGTGTATCTAGGCAAGTTGAAAAGGTGGAGTCTATCTACAGAGACTTATATAGTCAAATATCATTTACAGTATTTAATTAACCAATTCGTTATTTCGGTAAACCTAAATTAAAGTAAAATTGAATACGGAGTTTTATTCCCAGAAGGTCCAGTTTGAGATTGATTGTTATTCTTAATGATGATTACTGCCTCATATATCTAAATGAATTAGTCGACCACAGACACAATAAGTTCAGTTGTGCTCATCTACTTCTACCTTCCTTAAGTTGCACTATTTCCAGAATTCTCGGTTAGCGAATCAGTTGGAACACTTCTAATCATCATGATGGTTATAGTTTTAGTTAAAGAGAAATACAAAAGATAACTCGTGAAAGGTTAACTTACTGAATTCATGTCGACCATTCAGTAAAGCAGCTACTAAGAACTCTGAGGTGAATCACTTTCATTGTCCAAACATTATCACCTAACTTGTTCACAGCAATTTTTCAGGTAATCGAATAACAAAGTGTGTGACCAAATATTCACTTATGAAATGTCAATAACTAATTACGGCAATGATTGGTTAACTAGTGCGAAGGTCACTCGAACAACATGGTCATGGAAACATTAGGGACCAATAGTAACGCAAATATAGTAGTAATGCAAAAATAGTGATGCAAATCTGTCTGATAACAAGTAAGTAATTAAAAATATAGTCGCAGGAATTCTTAAGTTGTCCTAACGATCTTAATGTCATTTCTCACCCATTGAGCAGAGGGAACAGATAGGTCAAAGGTAGGTGAAACTATAATTTATGAACGACCTTTGGGTGACGCTAAAGTGACCTTGAGAGTGTCTACCTACTTGCCAGTGCTAAAAGAGGATTATAAACCATTTTGAAGAATAATTATTATGATTTACAGTCGATGGTTAGGGTTAGGAGTTAGATTTACAATTTTCATTACGCACTAACATCAGCTATAATGACAAGACCTTATTTAGCCATATGGGCGAAGGAATTTCGAGCTGGAATTAATGACCTGTTATCGTAAATCTGATTGATTCGTCCATAAAGTATAGTCTAGCCTAAAAAATGAAGGGCAAAAGCATACCATAACAACAACCCTGAGAGACTGTCAACTAATCGAGGTGTTTAGTTGCAAAAGAGTTAACCATAAAATGTAAACAAACACTAATCATGACCCTTAAATGTTGAATTATTCCATACAGTGAACGAATCTGGCTAATATCATGCAGTTTAAGAATCAAAAGTTATCCTTCACTGCATTTTCAACTGCATGTAACTTCCTTAGAGTGCTTTCTCACTTCTGAGTGGTTCACTAAAGGCCCTCAGTCTAGCACACTTTTAACGAACTAAGCGCAAATGACTGAAATTCAAAGTTGTCTGGAGATAAGCCCATACGGTTTGACCTTCGATACATAGTAAAACTAGACTTTAGCGTCAACCCCCAGAAAACCAATCGTATTTAAGAAAGGGACTGTGATATTTTTGTGAGATCCAGCGAAGGATAGCTTGTAACTTAGTTGAAGTTAAGTGAACAATACCTACATCTATTGATAGATATAGGTATAATCAGTATTTACTGATTATACGTCGGGCATACTTGACGTGATTGGAAGCATAGATAAAGATGTTAACGATACTAAAATGTACACGTACTCCAAAAACAACTCACATGTCTAATTCTTGTAAGCCTAATAAACAAATTTAACACAATGATACTATAATTACCTGATTATGCCACTTCTATGTGTATCTATGAACTCAGCTGCTTCTGTGGAAAATGCTATTTTCGACGCACTACCAGGCAACTGAACCAAACAATTAGTGAACACCTTCCTTCGTGGTTAGGAAAAGGTATTGACAAGTCAATACGGATCTCAGTTCTTTCACATTTGGTCGATAGCGGTCATATAGTTGACAGAAATCAGTCATTTAAAGTTATCTATCGTATTCCTACTACTTTTCCTTATGGGATTCGATCACGTCTCTTATACATAGCAGAAGCTATAGGAATTCGATCCAACAATCCAAGCCTTTGTGTTCATAAGATATTTGTAACACTCTTATCTCTCCCTTAGCCTTAATAAATAATTTTATTTTCCATACTCTTTCTTTGTCTATTTTTCTTCACCCCCTACCAATTATTTATTTATTTTTTCAAATATTCGCTTCACGGTCCAATTATCTGAACACTTCTTATTACGTAATCTTATAATTGTTATGACTGTTATTTCAGTGTCTATATTCTTTTTTCTAATCATTGACCTATTTCCCATTATGTTACATTGATTCAAGCCTTTATTATTCTTATGACAACTAGTACACCTGTCATTACACTACCAATTTGTACTTTTTACTTATCATTATTTTTAATTATCTAACCTATTCCATTAACACCGTTGGATGCCGGCTCAGTGGTCTATCGGTTAAGTGCTCCGGTGCGAGACTGGTAGGTCCTGGGTTCGAATCTCTTGAGGCGGGATCGTGGATGCACACTGCTGAGGAGCCCCATAATAGGACGAAAAGGCCGTCCAGTGCTTCCAGATTTTCCATGGTGGTCTAGCTTCAATTGACTCATGCTTTCAACTATGAAAATACTAAATTCTCCACAAACCCCGTCTGATCTATTCCACTGTTATCATTGACTCATAAACTTCCTTGTTTGGTTTAAGAATTTAGCATATGCTTATAAATATTACTGTATATTAGAGTAAAACCTGATGAGGATCTAATCGAAACTTGTGACTAGCGATAACTTCCTGAACCTAATCCTTTATCGCTCATTATTTATATTGAAACAATACAACACTATTAATTGGTTACTTTTCATAATAAATTGCATTATAGCTTAACTCTATTTACTGATTGATAGGTCTCTCAAAATTGATTCTATGATGTAGTTGAAGGCGTGAGTCAATTGAAGCTAGACCACCATGGAAAACCTGGAAGTACTGGACTGTCGTTTCGTCCTATTATGGGACTCCTCAGCAGTGCGCATCCACGATCCCGCACTCACGAGATTCGGACCCAGGATCTACCAGTATCGAACCAGAGCACTTAACCGACAAACCACTGAGCCGGCATCCAACGGTGTTAATCTCTAACTTCAACTGATCCACGATATGTAGTTTTACAGCATGTCTTTGAATATTATAAACGATCCCACATTTGTTACATTCGACATGTTACCTTGTAGATAAGTTGTGGTGATGAAGTAAATTGAATTTCTGACGCCCAATATGTAACTGAGCCATTAGAATACAGTTATAGTTCACTTAATCTAAGATCCACACACTGATTATAACACGTTCGAGTAGATTCGGCAATATGTGTTCTAAGCTAACCTAAAAGTTAATTGCTGCGGTAATGACAAACAAAACAGAACTTGACGGAAAACCAACAAATACATTCAGTTAAAAGTAAAGCAAATATCGCACATTAGTAGATGGATGAAAAAAAATAACGAGTAAAATGTAAGAAACAATTTAAAACTCAGGATTGACAGCTAAACAACGAGTGAATGTGTCTGCACCATTGTGACTGATTTTCGTCAACTAGTGTCTCCAACAATCAATCACTATAATTGCACGAATATTAAACGGATAGTTTACGTTCATCGACATGATTCAAACCAACACTCAATCAGGGCATGGATTAACACCATGTTTTGGTCTGTTCGCCTCCGATTTTCTTCCAAAACACACTTACGCCAATCAACACCGCAAGTGGAAACAATAGGAATCACTTCTCCTACAAACTTATGTCTCATTGTAAGAAAAGATGGATAGTGGTTAACAGCGGGATCCAAGACGCGCGTTTCATCCTATTTGGGACTCGTCAGCTGAATGTACCTGCATCTCACAGTTGATGTTCACTATGGGACTCAGCAATCTTCATAAAAGTATACTGAAAATGATTAAGCCTATAATGACTAATATGTAATGTTAATAAGTATATAGGTCACTTGAGATCATGAGATCACTGAACAGGATTAATATAAATAAATGAAACTTCCCATATATATATATAAATAAATGTGCCATTTATTTATCACAAAGGTCATTTAAAATGGTTAAAACGATTCATAACAAGGGGTCAAGTTACAATCAATACAATATTATGATAAATATTGTCTGGTGAACAGAGATAATAATAATGTCATGTGAATATAATACGTAATCAAATAGGTGTTGTCAGGGTGGTGATTCGTAATGATGGGAGAAGTTTTCAAAATCAAATAAAGACTAGCCATAAACAGTAAACAATAGTGGTGTAACAAGTTTACACTCCCCTGACAGCAGGTCATAATCGCTGAAAATGTAAGATCCATGCTTAACGAATAAACCTAAACAACGTGTAAACGATTGATCCTTAATAAGACTTGGTAATTCCATACATAACTTGTCTAGGGCGAATACTTTGATTTGTTAAAGGATTATTCGTACATACGTTGCAACCAGTCTTTCGTGTTCCAAAACACTATAGCGGTAAATAAATCCCTAAAATCAATAGCTTTGTAAGTCTTCGACGTTGGATGCTGACCACATTAGTTTTAATGGACTCACCTAGATGAAGGTGCTTGGTCACACATCCGCACAAGATTACGAGTGGGAAAGCTGTACTAAACTTCTCCTACAACCGCTATCCAGTTTAGATCAGACACTCCTCGATATAACGATAACCTATAAAATATATCTTCGGACTTCTTCTCTGCTCTTCTGACATCGTTGGGTGAGGACGTTTCGATTATATGAGGTGTTGTCAAACTCCAAATACTTGTGGCATCTTTAACATTGTAGGGTCAGTGAAATGTCACTGAACCCTAGCCAAATCATCCGGCAGTCAGGTCACTAAATATCGAACACATCGTCGATCTCCGTCAAGGACAATCAACGCGTATCAGTTAATCATACTCTATGGACTGGCCCATGCGGCAGTGGTTCTACTCTCGCTTGTATCTACTTTAACTAATATGTTCTTGTAATAACGTCCTTTGTGTTGTACAGTCTTCAGAGCATCCATGATACGTCAATGAGGCAATCCACGTGAGGTGCTGATCACGAGGTGTGACTTCGAAGTTAGATTGTTCGTTACACTGTTCCCGTCTACCTCGAGTAGGCCTCCAATCATTCGACATAGATCATCAAAGTTGATGGTCTACAACATCAAACTTATCCTGACTATGTGAAATTATTATCCAGAGTGATGTGATTCATATTGTATTCTTTATAATCATACCCTTCAACTTGTCTAGTTGGCCTTTATTTTCTTCATAAAGCATATCTCAATAAGTAAATGTATGACCATATTGTTCAAAATGTATTGTGCTAATATACTACATTATTATGATAATCCTTATTCGATTTCATTATTCAGCTAACAAATTATACTATTCCACTTCTCTATTTTCTCATGGGCTTGTGATAGCTGATTAATTAATGTCAAATACAAGTAAATAGTGTCAAATGGTAAGAAAATATACTATTGATTATTTTTTTATATCTCCTCCTGGAATCTTTCTAGGGTCACTGCCAGTCCGAATCCCGTATAAAGTATGAGAGTTCTCGTGGAAAAGAACCTTGCAAAGAAACACTAATCATAAAAAATAACTTTATCCATTTCAACTCTAACACAGGAGTTAGAGTATTTTCATTCATAAGAGCTAGTTCTTAAAAAATCACAAGGTCGATTAGTGAGACTCTAATTCATGGACGACATTTGAGTGACGTTAATGTGACCTCGAGAACATGCACCCTCTTACTGGGCTAAATGAAGTTTATGAACCAGTGTAAATAATAAGGATTATGATTTCTAGTTGATGGTTAGGGTTAGGAATTAAACATAAGGTTTTCATCACGAACTGACATCAGCTAAAATGCCAAAACTCTATTTAACCAAATGAATAAATTTCGCACTTTTTATCCTAAATCTGATCGGTCCATCCATAAACTATGGTCTGACAACACAGTAACAATTAATATATGTATATGAAGCGATAATGAAGTTCAGTTTCGTGAGGCTGCAGTCCATCGTAGAGAAATGACCAGAAAACGACCTGACTATCCTGATGGGAGACCCAAACACCAAGATTGAAATGAAAAATATGAGGTATGAAATGTTTATAGGTGGTACAATTACCTCCACAAATGCACACACAAAGTTACGTAGGTCCCACCGGACCACAATACAGAGAACCATATCGACCACATTTGCACCAATAAAACGTTTAGAAGGTCCATGAAGGACGTGAGAACAAAGAGAGAAGTCGATCGGATAATCACCTGATGGTAGCCAATATGTAACTGAAGATAAAGAAGCACTGGAAAACTGGAGAAACAGCACTACAGAAGTTTGATACAGCCTTCCTTTGAGAAAAGGCCGAGCTCAGCGAATTCGAAATAGATCTCAGCAACAGGTTCCAAGCCTCACAAGATCTAGTTAAAGAAGAGGAAGCTACTGTGAAGAACAACTGAGAGGGAATTTGAGAAGCAATAATTTCCACATGTCAGGAAGTGCCGTGTTGCAAGGAGCACCATTATAAATAATGAATTTCTGTTGACACGCTGGACAAGGTTCAGGAAAAAGAGAACGAAAAGGCAACAACCAGCAACAGCCACACAGGAGCATAAAGAATCAAGACACAAGCAGAATACAAAGAAGCAAATAAACAAACGGTTGACAGGAGAAAAAGCCGAAAGAGAAGGAAATATGATGCAACCAAGAAACTTGCGGGATTTATTGTAGCACAAATTGGACAGTGAAAAATGAGGAAGAAAAACCAATTAGAAATTCTAGAGTAGTGGAACACTTTGGATAAGGCCTGAATAGACCAACCTTACTGAACCTACCAGATATTAAAGCGCAGTAAACGGAAATCCCAATGAGTATTACCTCACAAATAATGGAAGAAATTAATATGATCATCAGACAAATCGGGAGTGGGAAAGCAGCAGGATCAGACAGCATACCATCTGAATCACTGAAATCAGATATAGAAGTAACTGCTAAGATGCTCTACATTCTGTTAAGAAATATTTGGGAGGAAAAACAAGTACTGAGAGACTGAAAATAAGGAGATCACATCAACATAATAAAGAGATCTTAGTGTTGGAAATAATGAGGGATCACATTATTATCAGAACCAGGGAAATCTTTCAACGGTGCTGCTGAACCGAATTAAAGATTAAGTGGATTTTCCAACTTCGAGAGCAATCGTCGACCACATATTGAAAAATCGCGACATTAGACCATTTCTGAATAATCATTTGAAAGGAATTCATCAGTATACATCAAATGCCTTGACTATCAGCAAGTGTTTGGCAGAGTGGATGAAATTCGTCACTGTGTATCAACTTCCTGAAATATGAGAAAGCGTTCGATAGAGTGCATAAAAGAATTTTGTGAAACCATCTGCGACATTATGGTGTACCTGAAAATATCGTCAACATCATACACGATTGTTACCACAGACTAAACTGCGACATCATGCATAAAGGGCAACTAACATCTTTATAACAAGTAAAGAATGGTTTCAAACAAGGCTGCTTACTATCTCCTGTAACATTTCAATAGTTCCATTTTGGAATTTACTACTGACAATAAGCTTCCCATTGTGAGAAATATGCTTAATTTTCTCTTTCGTGATGTCAATAAACGGAAATGGAAGCTAAGATGGTTACGCATTCGTGCAAACACATCTATTACTGAGTAATAGGTTGTAAGCATATCAAGTTAGTTAGATTGACACTTTAGCTTCGGTAAGAATCAAATTAATAAAAAAATACTAAAGAATATATACCCTACTAAACTTAGCTTAGTCTTGTTTTTATCATTCCAATAACCACTCTACATTAATGATTAAATATTTGTTTAAACCTTATAGTTGATTTGGTTTGCTATGCCAAACATTGCCTCAGTAACTCAGTCAGTTGATTGAGGCAACTTACAAGTATCCTACGAAGTACTAATACGTGAAAAACTATCGAGTATTTACTTTGTGCAAAATTACACTTACATAACACTATGGATACAACGACGCAAACAATAAAATGTAGTGACAGATGTAAGGTAACAACTAGTTTACCATTAATGTGGTTTTCAGAAACTTTGATCGGTAATTTTGAAATTATTTGACTTTTAGTTCACTTATATCGAAAGTACTCTCAACAATTACCTATATATTAACAAAACCACAGTGAAAACATAAAGCAACAACACTGATGGAAAAAACAAATTTTATGGATGTAAAAAATAGTATGGCAATTTATTAATAACAAAAGTTTTAATCTCGAGTTGTCAATGAACAAACATATTATCTAACGATTAAGTGAGTATCGGTAAATAAAATCCGAAATATTTGACTCAACACCATATTCATTCCAACAATCTCTCAAACGATCTTCATCTCGTGGAATATTTTCTGCAATCTTGCATCTACTTCTAAGTACATCCAATAAATGACTTCCACTTGGCATATACAACTCTGTGTAAATCGTCTCAAGTATCTTCTTCCAATTCTTACTGTAATCACTATAGTGTTGTTCTCGAGTTTTACCATTCATCTTCAACTGTGGATAGTCAAACAGTTGACTATTCGGTTCAAAAACACTCAAATAGGTGACCAATCGACCAAATATACTACTTATCTTGTCAGTGACTGATGATCGAGATGAATTCGTCAAATATTCACAGTCGGAGTGATAATGAAATGGATCACTGGATATTTGACGGTACAGCCTCCGCAACTCAATCAACTCATTCAAATCTTCGAAAAACACTATACACACAGATCGGACCATTCGACTGGCAATCTGATGCGCGATTCGTGTACGGATAAATCTAGCTGTCAAGTCCTCGAAATACTGACAGATATCTAGTTTCAGAGGACGCACCAGACCAACGTTATTTATGGGTCTGATTGTATGTTCCAGATTACGATGCTTCGTCGCCATATGAAACACATAGAGTCTCGAGACCCAATAACCAGTGATACGCATCGCTTCAATTTTATCACGTTCGTCTGTTAATCCATGCTTATCCATTAGGTCACTTCTCAGTATCTCACTTGCATAACTGTCTCTCAACAACCCACACGGTGCGAATCTGTTCTCCTGGAAATAGTTAACAACAGCAGCAATCATCACTCGAATACATGCATCTGTCATTCCAACATCGATCACATCCATCATTTCACGACTGTTGGCAACATTGTCAACGGTCCAACGGCCATAGTACCACGCACCATCTTGACGATTCTCCACTACTCTGTCAGGTGTGGAGACATTTTCGACAGGCGCGTCTCCATCAGAAGTGGTTTGTTCATTTGAATCCGACGACTCGGGAACTTCTGCAAGTAGTCCTGCAAGAATCGCAGCACTGGCAGCATTCGCCAGCCATTTTCGAAGAGGTTTGGAAACCGATTCACCAACATTTTTGAAGATGTATGCAGAGGCCATTGCGGCAAACGTCACCCACGCATTCTTAACACGTGTGGAATCGTCCGTGTTGGACTCAGGCATCATACTCCTGTCAAGCATCAACATGAGTCGAGTGTCTAGATCAGATGGAGCAGTGAGAGACAGTTCAAAATCGAAATCGCCATCTACTTGTCGTAAACGATCAGACAGGATGTACCCTAAATCATGAACCAAATTTGTTAGTGAGTTCTTCAAATCTTCAGTCTTTTCAACCATGTTCTACAAAGGAAAGGAGAATGTTTGTGTAAACGTCTGATGATTTACCATTTATTTATTTAAACACATAAATATTGGTGCAAAGGGGCACCAGATATATAGGCATCACACAAGATAATGAAGAATGGTGACTACCTAAATTTTCATTCAGTGAATTATTTTTTAATATTCATCATCATCATCCTCATTATTTTCCCCTTATTTTCTAACGACATATTACCCTTATTTCCTTTTAATTGATTGCTTGCAGCGTTGTACATGATGATATATAAACCATACCAGACTTGTCATTACCTCACAGATAAGTCATTGTGGTTTTGTGGATCCGTGAAAGAACTTATCAAGGATCTGACAATATGCGAGGCAAATAACAAACTACGAAAACAAATACTAACATTGAAAGCCCGAATCGGTGTCAAAACTATGCTATACCAACGACCTTCGGTGAATGATGGGTGGCCTTCAGATTAGCTGATTAGAATGAAACCTTCTGATTTGTGTAGAAAAGACAAAATGCTTGCGGCTTGTGTTATTATTCTTCTATTATACTTCTGTGAATGTTTCATCTTCTCCTGAATGAGTCAATTGAAGGTACGGGCACCACTGTTTCATGCAACATATCTAACTACTGATGTAGCGGTAAATAAATCCTCAAAATCAATAGCTCTGTAAGTCTTCAACGTTGGATGCTGACCACATTAGTTTTAGTGGACACACCACACAGCTCACAGGCGCTATTTAAAAAAGATTCTCGACGCTAAAATGTTTCTGACTTTGTATACAGTGTTCGCGCGTCCTAAACTTGAGTACTGCATACAAGCAGCTAGCCCCTGCGTTGAAAAAGACATTGGACTCCTGGAAAGGGTTCAGAGCATAACAACTAGGCTGATTCCTGGAATAGCCAAGCTCCCGTATGGTACTAGACTGACCAGGCTAAAGCTATTCCCGCTGTCATATCGAAGAATCAGAAGCGACTTGTTTACAGTCTTCAAATTGCTTAGTGATAAATTTTCAATTGATATGCCCTCATTTTTCTTGTCTCCCAAAACAGAAAATCTTAGAAGACACTCCAAAAAAGTTCACAAGCTCAGAACGATTTTTTTGTCAGCTGACTACTGACTTTTCACCGAATCATCAAGGAGTGGAATTCATTACCTCAGAACGTGGTTGACGCTCCATCCGTCGATTCTTCCAAAAGAAAGTTGGATCAGCTGAGAGACCATCATTGTCGGGACTAACACAGGACATCAAGCCTCCTGTCCTTTCCAAACTGAAACTGATTATTTCTCGTTGAGTTAAATTCATTTTTTGATCGTAAATTACGCATCAAAACGACTGTTTACAATTTAATTGAATTTCTTTCGTGTAAAGTGATGGATTTGTGTGTTTTGATGTTGCTTTTGTGTATTAAATGCATCAAAGCATTCTTGGTTGACTTTGGCTTGATTCATTTGATCAAAGTTTGAAATTTGTCTTACATATCCATTTTGACTATTATTTTAGTTAGTTTTTAAGATGGTCCGCTCTGCTCGCAAGTGCGGACAGCCATATTGCTTATTCCCTGTAGAAGAAGATGAAGATACGACAAGTAATATAGTTTGACAACACTTTACAAGAACCTTCTTCTATAATCGAATCCCGTGTCAAGTCCTTCTTAGTGCTGATCGAATGCTATCGATCAAGTTGCAATGTGGCCACGAGTCAAGGTGGCTTGACACTACGTGCAATATGTTCAGATAAGATGATGGTTGGAGGAGGAAACTGGTAGTTATACAATGCGGAAGAAGCCAGAGAAAACAGGTGATACTATATTATACATCGGAGATAAATAGAAAAAATATATATCTGAATTCTATCGGTTTCAGATGTATTAATTAGTAAAATAACCTGAATTAACCTGAAATTGATCGATAGCATTCGATCAGCACTAAGAAGGACTTGACACTCATGACATGTTAGATTTGATGATTTCAAGGATGCGACCACAAGATGCAGCCAGCTCATCTACGGCGTTGTTTTGAGAGGAGACCAGCACAGCTTGCACCTGTTACAGAAGTTAAGACAAGAAAATTTGTTTGAATTGGCCTTCATCTAATGTTCATTGGCCGATAACTCCTCTCATCCTTAGCAACATATCTGTCATAGAGCTATTTTGCAGGTCGATACTATTATAGAGTTGGTCTAACCTTTGTCGATAGGTTAGGTCTCCGCGTTTAAGAATCGATGGTTTCAAAGTTTCGTAAGGTTCCGAAACATCACTAGTAAACATACTAGGTTTGACGTGTCTGTTGAAATCCCGCGGTAGTGCCTTTACAACAGCGAGGAACTGTGCACGTGAATCAGTAATGCCGTGCTCGTAGAAGTCGGCTTTCGTGTAACATAATCAGGCTTCAATATTGTCCGATCAAAAAGGCATTAGTTGAAATGAAGGTTACTCAAGAGTATTGGTCTTAAGGAGCTTAGGAGTTTGGTTTGTCATGCCAAATTTATAGTATAGGAATTAACGAGGGAAAATATGTACGAAAAATATATCACAATACATGAAAAAAATAAAGCAAAGCAATGATTTATGAAGTTCCAAAACGGAACAGACTCAGTTTATTGGTTGGTGTACCAGATCTTGTCGGTCTTACCACTGAATATACCACATGCATTGAAGTTTACCAGTAACACCTATAATTCACCCACCCAGTGAAATCAGAAGTCAGAAGTGAGGCCGTTGGAAGATATATTTGATGGGTTATCAATATATCGATCATGATCCCATTGAAAACTCAGCAATCTTCATAAACGCATACTGAAAATGGTTAAGCCTATAATGACTAATATGTAATGTTAATAAGTACATAGGTCACTCGAGATCATGAGATCACTGAACAGGATTAATATAAATAATGAAACGTCTACGCAATTTACTCAATATCCGTTGGCTGGAAACCATGAGCATCAGCCTACTGTGACAGAGAACAAACCCGATTTTCAGTTGACAAGGAAATTAGGAAAGGACGTCGGAATCATATAGAACATACATTACGGAAATCACAAAACTGCATCACAAGTCAAGCGCTGACTTGGAATCCTGAAGAGAGATAGTAAAGAGGAAGACTAAAGAATACACTACGCTGAGAATTGAAAGCACGCATCAGAAGGATGAATAGAAACTGGACACAATTGAGGAGGATTATCGAGGACAGAGTTATATGAAGAATACTGGTGAGCGACCCAGTCTCATCCACGAGGGGTAAAATACGTTAATAAGTAAGTCAATGTCGTTTTTATCCAGTTTTACTGGTGTCGTCTACCAAGCAAATGAGGGACTTGTAATTGAAGTCATACGTATTCAGGAACCTTGAGCCTAAATGAATACAACTGTGCGTAATACCATTCTAGCATTTCGAGTGAATTTAGTTAGGCAATTAGATTCTCCGATTTGTAAGCTTGCAATATTTACTTTTAAAAATCTGCAATGTTTTCTTAAATCAGTAATGATCTTCAGGTTAGGCGGTCGCTATGAAGCCTCAAGGTCAAGGGCTCGACTCTTGATTAACTCACGATTGTTAAGTGTTGAGGAGTCCCAAACTAGTACGAAAGAGTAGTTCTGTAATTCCTGATTTTCAGTAGTTGAACAAAATTTAGTTCGTAATGTTTAACATTAAAATAGTTTCTGATCCAGGGACATAGATCATTTAGTACTGTTCTGTACAATCAGGAATGTTCGTTGCTCTATGAACGTTCTATCTTGTCGAATTCACAGTACTACAGTTTGATAGATCTTAACTAAATTTCTTTACCGTAACCAAAAATAACTTATTGAAGGACGTTATTATTATTGTCAGATGATATATATATATATATATATATATATATATATATATATATATGCAAGAGCAGCAGTAAGGTCATTTTAGGATGGAATTCAAACAACGGGGAGGAAGTTCATTAAATGAAGTCTGGAAACAGATAAGATTGACCTTATGATAAATTATACAATTTGTGAACAGTTTGCATAAGTTTCAGATCAATTAAAATTAGGTATGAAATATGCACAAATCATGTTTAAGTTTGTTCATTGCTATTGCTTCGGTAAACTAGAAAAATTATGAGTGCTTTGTCTGCCGATAATTTTGAAGGATTGCGAAATGTCAGCGGTATACCCTGTATAAATTACATATCATGTTACTGTATTATGTTTACATCAAATGAATTCATATTATTCTGCCTCAATTTTTATTTTAACTTTATTCACATTCATTAAGGGAATCAATTAGATGACGTACATAATCATTCGTTACCTGAGAATTAACTTTTTTAATGTAAAACATGAATCTAAGTGTTTTACATAAACCTTAGTATACTCATAGATTATAAAATCCATTACTGTATGTGAACACATGAACTTAGTAAAATAAAAGTGTTATGCTGTAGACCATCAACGTTGATGATCTATGTCGGATGATTGGAGGCCTACTTGAGGTAGACGGGGACGGTGTAACGAACAAGCTAACTTCGAAGTCACATCTCACGATCAGCACCTTATGTGGATTGCCCCATCGACGTATCAAGGGACTATGGATGTTCTGAAGACTGTACAAAAACAAAGGACGTTATTACAGGAATATATTAGTTAAAATAGATACAAGCGAGAGTAGAACCCCTGCCGCATGGGCCAGTCCATAGAGTATGATTAATTGATACGCGTTGATTGTCCTTGACGGAGATCGACGATGTGTTCGATATTTAGTGACCTGACTGTCGGATGATTTGGCTAGGGTTCAGTGACATTTCACTGGCCCTACATTGCAAATGATAGTCCTTGAATTTGTAATCTAATTAATTTCAAAGTGATAAACTAATCATAATATTGAGATGTAAACTTATGTTTATATGATATTGTCTAGAAATGATCTAGAATAAATAGGTGATTAGTTATTAAAGTATTAGTCTTAAGAAACTTGAAAATTATCCTACATATTTTCATAGTTAAAATCATGAGTTAATTGAAGCTAGATCACCATGGTAAACCTGGAAGCACTGGACGGCCGTTTCGTCCTATTACGGGATTCCTCAGCAGTGCGCATTCACGATCCCGCCTTACCAGGTTCGAACCCACGACCTATCTGTCTCGCGCCAGAGCACTTAACCGAGATATTTTGTACGTATATTAAACCAATTCCTGGTTAAAATCTATTTCTCAAACTGTACGTCAATATCTAATTGGTTGATTCTATGTCTACTATCACAGAACTTAGGCCCCAAAGATAATGCTTCTAGCTGTGTTACATCTAGTTCGATATTGGAAAAATTATGTACGTACCGTTTCGGGTCGAAAGGAAATTCCTTATCTTGTCTTTTTTCCAAAGTTTTCACTAGTTTTGTCATCGTCTTCTCAGATCTCTTCTTGGAAAT